GAGAGAGAGAGAGAGAGAGAGAGAGAGAGAGAGAGAGAGAGAGAGAGAGAGAGAAAGAGTGAGAGGAGGGGATGCGTACCTGCCTGTAAATGCATCTTCTTGGTTATGTCTACTGTCACCTACAGCAGTGCGAGGAGAACCGCTCCTGCACCTCATAGGGACACGAAATGAAGCTGATGAACTAGCGGCCGGCGTTGTTGTCGTTGTCATTGTCGCACCGTTGCCTGCTGTCGCTCATGCGTGCTCCAGGATGAGGTCCGACCTGGCGAACGGGTTGTCGGACTTCCGACGGGAGGTGAGTAGACTATCTCCTGTGTTTTTGCCTTTTGGGCAGGCTTGCCAGACGATGCTTGGCGGCGTTCATTTTTCTCGTTTACATGGAGCAACGGGAGCGCGGTACGAAACAGTTTCTTGATTCGCGCAACCGATGCGAAGTGCTTCTCGTCCTTGCGCGGAGCCTTGTTCGTTGGTTGTTGGTAGGACTGCTGTCAAACTTCCGCCAACGGGTGAGACGCCACGGTTTTTGCACGACGCGGATTTGTCACACGTCGAACAGAGGCTACCGACAAGCAGGGCAGGATTCGAAAACTAGTGGCAAGCACGCTTTTGGTGCAGGCAGCACTCTCAGAAGTGCCTTGACACCAACGACATCAACAGCAGTCGCTATTTTACCAGCAGCAGTGGCCAGAGCAGCAGCAGTGTCGCCCTTGTCCCCGTTCGGAGCTGGTCAATTGTGTTTTGTGTTTCGAGGTCGTGATCGAGGTCGTAGTTAGGTTAGAATAGGCTAGGTTAGGCTAGGTTCAACACCCACTTGCCAGTCGCTAGTTGTTGGGTGGCGTCGCGTCCTCCATCCATGGACGCCGTCTCATGAATTTCACCGCAACATCATTGACGTGTTTGTTTTGATCGGAAACTAACAATTCCAGGTAAAGGCCGTCCTGGATACCGCGTTGTGCGAGACGGACACCCCTCTGGCCGTCGGCGATCTCCGACCAGGCGACGGACCAGGACCATATTTGGTGGGCACATGCTTTGTTGTGTTCGCGCATACTAGAGACATAGCGATGTTGAAGCACGCTGTAGGTCTGTACGGAAACCAACTACACAGAGACGGTGATGTAATGGTAGCATACTGTAGCCGTAGTTGCAGCATCAGTGGCAGCAAGCAGGCAGGTGTAGCATGCCAACAAACAAGAGCGGTCGTGCTTTAGCGGCGGCGAGAATCGTAGCTTTGTGCCACACGGCTGAGCCCTTGCACATCGCTCTAGTATCACGACAAGAGATAAACCCCTTGGCGCTTGTTTCATCTCGTCTGCCGGATGGGTGGGAAGGCTCCAAACCCGCGTACCAGCGGCGGTAATGGCGCGAAGTCCGCATCGCATCGGGTCGGCACGGTGGACGGAACGGTTGCCAACGACATGAGCGCGGTCGATCGCGAGCTGGCCCTGCTGGAGCAGTCCAACGCGGCCTTGTTTGCCGCGCTCGCGCAGACGCGGGCGATGCCCGCGAGCCGACTACCGCCGGCGCTCGATGGTGAGAGATGCCTTGCCAAGGGATGAAGCAGGGGCAAGAGATGGGCAGGAACGGGGGATGGGGTCGGGGGAAGCGGATTCCGGTTGTAGTCGCAAGGGGTGAGGGAAGGTGTTGGGCTCATTGTGTGGAGGTTGAGGCAGGGTGTGATTCGGGCACGGGCAGAGGCCAAGGGTGTACCGCTGTCGAACGCTGGCGGAAGCGCCGTTCTTGCAACTACGGTTACCATCAGGGGGGGATCGATCGATTTTTGTTGGGTGTCTCGATTGGGCCGAGCGGATGGCGCCCATCAGAACATAGTCCGCCTGTCATCTGCACCTGCGTTGGGCCTTGCACGAAGCCGTGTACACACGTCCACGCTCACGCCCTTAGCTAGACTTTGTCGTTGTTGTTTTTGTTCCCGTCCGTTCAGCCAGGATGCGCTCGATGGGGGCACGAGAGGAGGCCAGAGAAGCGGCGCAACTCCGCGAGGCGGCGGAGATTCAGGAGCGAGAGCGGCGGCGGAGGCTGGAGAAACGCCAGCTGGTGGAGCAGACGCGGGACCTGAAGCAGACGGTCTCTGAGTTGGAGAGGCAGGTAAGGTGGCGAGGGGGCCCCGTGTTGCGCATGGTATCGCGTGGTATACGTGTCCGTGCGAGGCGGGTCTCCTCCGGGGTGCTTGATCGTGTAGGTTTTTTTGTGTTTTCCTTTCGGTTGTCTCGAGAAGGAGGAAGTTATCACAACAGCGGAGAGCGGGAGAGAGAGAGAGAGAGAGAGAGAGAGAGAGAGAGAGAGAGAGAGAGAGAGAGAGAGAGAGAG